GGGAAATCTTGTTCTTTTCTCATTCAAAGTCTCCATCAGCCTTAGTTAAACCAGCTTCAGGCAGGAAGGTCTTGGAAACTTCTCTAATCATCACTGCTCTCCCTCTCCCAGCACTAGCACAGCCCTTGTCTTGTCCCCCAGGGTCTGGAAAGGGGACGGTGGAGGAAACCAGGGATGGAAGTACCACCTAGGGAAAGGAAGAGCCGGTTCCCATCTCATGCCAGCCTTGGGACAAACCTGCCCACCATGGCCAGCTTTGCCAGCAGAGACCTGCCAGGTCCCAGCCTCTCACTGCAAGGAGGGGGTTGTACAGGGGAATGAAGCAGATTTTTGACCAGTTCAGACACATGGGCCATGCACTGGGCTCTGATGAGAGCTTTCCCATGGTGCTGGCTGCCTGCGAACGTCCCTGTACAAGAACATGGGTGCAGCAGTTGGTACCAGCTCCCTTCTCGCTTTCACAGCTTCTGCAGAGCGTTTCTGCACTCGGGTTTGACAGGAGCTCGCGTTCCCCCAGTGCATTTGCTTGACTTTCACAATAACATATTCAGGAGAACTGGATGCATTTCAAACCAGCTATTACACCACAGTATGCTCCAACACAAATATATGCAGTGTAGTGCAGCAACAATTCTTCTAGGAGTGCTCCTCTGTAACACAGATTGCAGAACAAACACGTTCCCCCTGAGCCCCGATGCTACGTGAGCTTTCGGAGCAGCCCGCACCACAACACACACTGCCTTGCATAAAACCCTTCAGAGAGAAGGAAACTGCTGAAAAATTAACAAATGGGAACTCTCCAGACATTCAAATCCTGTATCCAGAAACAGGTACAACCATGTGGCAGGGAGGCTTCCATCACCTCCAAGGGCTGAGCATCACCATGGCGAAAGAAGCCCCTGCTCTGGCTGTAAGTGAAGCATGGGGAAACACAACACTTTTCCCATTACAGAGGAAACACTGAGTAGGAAGTGCAAGTTTTGCCTTCTTCCCCCCTCATAACAAGCAAAATGTAACATGAAATTGCAATAAGTCCATGGGAGGAAATGTGGTTTCTGGCTGTTTGCTTTTGAAAGAGCTCCTAGAGCATAGGTAGCACCATCACATCCCTGGTTATAGGCATAGGTATAGCATATAGGTAGCATAGGTATAACATATACTATAGGTACCACCATCACATCAGCAACCCTGGCTGCTTGCATGGAGTTAATACCAGCCCTATAACAGACCCAAACTCTTCAGAATGAAGCCAGCTTCTCCCAACCCATCCTAACACCACCCCCAGTGCTCCTGTATGATCATTTCAGAAGGAATCCTGACTGTATTTGCCATTTACACCAAGGAAAATCTACTGCGACATATGCAGAGCTGCAGCAGGAGTCAGAATTCAAACCAGAGTGTTCAAAGACGAGCAAGGAGAGAGGAAATAAGCGCAGGGTGAGACAGGGGTGGAAAGAAAGGAGGGATCCTTGTGAACGCTGCAGGTGTGAAGCAGAGGCTCAGCTGTATTTAGCAAGCCATCAATCTGGGTGTCAAAGCGAAGGGCTAGCTGGGCCTGTTTCAGTAGAGGGCACTCAAGGCCCAGAAATCTGCATTTGCCAGCCCCGTATATTTACTCTCTGGTATTTTAGGAGACAACTCCAGCACATGAATCCCGGTAATGTGAGCACTGGGCCTCATAACTCACCTCGATTGTAGTTATATTACACCTGATGCGTATAAATCTAAACAAACCGCGTGTGGATGTAGCTAATTCCAAAGAACCGGTTTAGACACCATTAAAAAAAATAAAGAGAAGCCTCTTTTTCTTCATTAGGATGGAAAAATGCCATTGCTACAGAAACACTCGTGCCTCTTTCTGCAAGGTTCGTACTTCCGCTGCTGCTCTGAAGCATGAATCTCACTTGACACCGTCCTTCATCATTCAGCGGTTTTTCCCCAGATATTAATAACTTCAACCTTTTTTCCCACTTCTGCAAGCATTTCCCTTACATACTCAAGAAGAAAAGTCTAACATCTATAGCCTTTAGAGCACCCATAAATCTACAGCTTTATTAGCAGGCAATAGAATAGACATTTTTATGCATATAAAACCCTATAAAATGTACACAATTATCAGAGCCCTGCCTAATAAACAGAGCTCTGAATACCACACGTAGCCACTGGAAAAATACACAGCCTGAAAATCCAACACATCCAAATATCCTCACAACAAACCAGGAGCAGCCAAATGACTTCTCCTGGATGGCACACCACCTTCACAAGCTCCAAACACAGCAGAGCATCCACACTCATTGATACCCTATGAAGTGATGAATTACCACATTAAAGCTATTTCATAGCAGTTGTGAACTGGGCAACCCTCTTGTATCTTCAGCATCGCTGTACCGAGCTTAGAACACCAAAACCTTTCTGCTACCTGCAGTTGTCCTTCAGCAAAGCAACAAACACGGATTCTTTAGCATAATCCTAACTTACTCCAGTACAAACTCACCCCTCCCAAAGAGATTCCAGCACAACACCCCACTCAGAGCACTTACCCATGGGGAAGAACGGAGTTGGAGCTCTGGCTCTGCCTGGTGCTCTGCTAACCCTGCAACTGCGCCCTGGTTGTTTCCCCGGCACATTTTGTCCTTGCTATAATGATGTGCTAACAACCCTGATGGGCCACAGCTGATGCAGAGCTTGTCCTAATGGGTAAAGGTCATTGCCCTGGGGGGGGCGGGGGAGGGGGAAAATAACCTAAGGTAACCACAGGGCAACACCTAAGAGTAGCTTGAGAAAAAAGGAACCTCTTTTTTAAGGAACAGGATCCCCTTAGACAGTAGAAGGATGCTGCAGGAGAGAGGAGCATCCCTGAGCCACGTGGGAGGGATGGGGCTGGGGGACAGCATAGGAACTCAGGAGCTTGAGGAAGATCTGATGGGCTTCAGGTGCTCTGGTTCCTTTGGGAAGGAAAAGCCATGCAGAGCCTGAACAAGGAGATGTCTGGGGTCCCGGTGTTTGCTGCCCACTCTGCTGCCTCACTGCTGATAACGGATTACTCCTTTGCTGCCTTTCTGAACTGCACAGGCTGCCTCCTCTGACCTGTATACACAACAGGGCCCATTCCTGACCTCCATGCACCCATCAGACACTAATCAAATAAGAAATAAACTACATGTGCTGGTACTGCAGTGGGATCCAGAGGCTGAAGCCAAGGTTAGAGCCTTATTAGTGCCTGGTGCCAGCAGAAAGTCAAGAGGCAGCATCTTGACACTAATGAACCAACAGAATATATCACCCTAGCTACATCTTAATTTAAACAGCCCACAAATCTGAACCTCTTGTCCCCAGTAACTGAAAATGAAGCATCTTCTTTATATGTTCAAGTCTGTAAGGAGTAAAGAACAGTCACAAACAGAATATCTCTCTCCCCACCACCCATGAGCTTTGTTGAGCCTTCCTTTTTTTATTGTCAGGTGCAAAGATTCATCAGGTTGGGACATTTAATGCTATGAGAAGTTCACAGAACCAGCTGGCCTTCATATAAGCAGTTAGAATGAACATTTCTTCTATGGTCTTTTGCAAAATCTTGAGCTTTTTGACACCAGGAGGGATGAAAACACCCCTTAAGATGAGACACCTGTTTCTGTAACTGCCTCTGACACTGGTAAGATTTGCTGCTGGAGCCTCAGCCTGTCCACAATAAGCAGGAACAAAGATCTCAGAGACCAGACTTTGAAGATGCTGGGCAATGCTTTTGCCTCTTTGTCTTGACTCTTAGGAGGAAGAAAACGTTCCTCTGCCATGACACAACGCTGGGAGCCCAGGTCATGCTCAGGGGCACCTCCCCATTACCCCAAATGAAGCACCCAGGGACTTTTTATAGAATCATAGAATCCCAGCCTGGTTTGGGTTGAAGGGACCTTAAAGCTCCTCCAGCTCCAACCCCTGCCACAGCAGGGACCTCTTCCACTGGAGCAGCTTGCTCCAAGCCCCTGTGTCCAACCTGGCCTTGAGCACTGCCAGGGATGGGGCAGCCACAGCTTCTCTGGGCACCCTGTGCCAGTGCCTCAGCACCCTCACAGGGAAGAGCTTCTGCCTAAGAGCTCAGCTCAGTCTGCCTCCTTGTTTGAGTTTTAGATGGAGAATGGTTTGCACATCCCCTCCTCCTGTTCATACGCTCAGGCTGATGGGGCTGGGATGGGTCACACAGGAGGCCACTGGCTTCTGTCACAGCCCAGAGCTGCCCACATTGCCCCTCACTGCTGGGAAAGCAATGGACAGGGAGAACTGGAAAGATGAACAGATACGGAGTAATAGAATGTTTGTAAGAAAATGAGAGGTGTGCTCCTCAGAGGTTGCAGGCGATGCGCTCAGCAGACAGCTAGCAAAGGGGGAGACTGGAAATGATGAAATAGGTCAAATTATTTAAATGAGGAAAAATAAATTCTCCCCAGCCTAGCCCAGCGGGCTGACAAAGCAGCCAACTTATCTGCCGCTTGCGCAGCCCTTTGTCTCTGTCACCGAGGTCATTAAACTCCCGGCTGCCGACCCCAGCCTGGCCGCCCGCTCACTGCTCCTCGCTACCCGGAATAGCCGGGCCCGGCCCGAGCGATGCTGCCCCGCCTCGCCCGACGCCAACCACGGGGGCCATAGGGGACCCCGGACACCCAGGGATCCGCGGCACAGAGGGACCCCGGAGCTGCCGCTCCCCCGGTGTCCCCCCAGCCCGCGGGCCCCGGCAGCCTCCTGCCCTCTCCCCGGGGGAGCGGGCGGGCACCGGTACATCGGTGCCGGGGTGCGTGTCGGTGTGTGTGTGTCAGTGCGTGTCAGTGTGTGTCAGTGTGTGTCAGGGTGTGTGTCAGTGTGCGTGTGTCAGGGTGCGTGTCAGTGTGTGTCAGTGCGTGTCAGTGTGTGTCAGTGTGTGTCTCAGTGTGTGTCAGGGTGTGTGTCAGTGTGCGTGTCAGTGTGTGTCAGTGTGTGTCAGGGTGTGTGTCAGGGTGTGTGTCAGTGTGTGTCAGTGTGTGTCAGGGTGTGTGTGTGCACGCTCCACTCCGGGGCTTTGCGAGAGCCGCGCGCATCAGTGGTAGGAGGGGACAGAGCCGCTCCTCGGGCGCACCGGCAGCCCCGGCTCCGCAGGTGCCGCCCGACCGGCACCGGTACCGGCACGGCTCGGCTCGGCTCGGAGTGGAAGGGAACGGAACGGCACGGAACGGCACGGAGAGGCAAGGCTCGGAGCGGCTGCCGCGGGACGGGCCGTCGCGGCCGCACTAAGATGTGCCATGAGCGGTCCGGGCTCGGCGCCGATCGGTCGCTCCGCCTGAGCCCCGGGCAGCAGCCGCCCGCTCCCCCGCTGCCCCTGGGGCCGTAGGGCCGCGCCGGCCCGCGCCCTCCCCAACGATGCCCCATCTCTGGCCGGTTCTCCGCGGCGTGCTCTGGGAATACTGGGCAGCGCTCCTGGTCGGCGGCCTCTGTGGCCAGGGCTCGCACGGGATGCCGCATGTCATCCGGATAGGTAAGGCCGCCTCTCCCCGCGTCGGGGCGAAGTTCAGGGCTCAGGGACGGGGCGGGGGATGCGCTGCCCGCGGGCGCGGAGAGGCGAGGGGCCGCGTCCCGGGCACGGGGATGCAGGAGCCCAGGGTGGATGATCGCACGGAGTGACCGGGGTGCTGGGCACCGCGCGAACAGGGAGGGGACGATGAACCCGGAGAGGGGGGATGCTGTGCGCCTGGAGAAGGGGGATGCTCTCCTCCGGAGAGGGTGTGTGCTGAGCCCCTGGAAATGGGTGATGCTGAGCCCCCAGAGCGGGGAGATTCTTAGTCCCTGGAGGAGGAGGATGCTGAGCCCCTGGAGAAGGGGGATGCTGAGCCCCTGGAGTGGGGGAATGCTTAGCCCTGGAGAAGGGAGATGCTGAGCCCCGAAGAAAGGGGATACTGAGTCCCTGGTGCAGGGGGATGCTGAGCCCCAGAGTGGGGGAATGTTGAGCCCGAGGAGGAAGGCTGCGGTGCCCTATGCAAGGAGAGGTGCTATGCCAGCACAAGGAGGGGTGCTGTGCCACTGCAAGGAGAGGTGTTGTGCTTACTGCAATAGGAATGCAGTGCAGAGGTGTTCTGACCCAGGGCCAGATGTGCCCAGCACAGGGAGCTGATAGCTTGGGGGGCCTGGAGGATGGAGGCGGGCTGCCTGTGCCGCAGCGGCTGCTGAGGGCCAGGCGTGTTTTGTTAAACTGCTGAGGTTCTGGGGAAAATTAATCTTTAATAATGTTACATAAAGTAATTGCACAGAGAACAGCTCGGGAAGGAGCCCTCGATCAGCCTTTTTCCTAATTAAACGAGATTCTTGTTTTCAGCATGTCATGTAAGGAACGGCACTGATTTTCTGTTACATCCCATGTCCTTTGCCATCGGCACACATTGCAAGGGATTTGCTGTCTGCCCAGGGAAAATGACAAGGACAGGGTTAGCTGTCCTTTTAGGGACCAAATTCTAACCCAGAGAAACTAGTGCAAACTGAATAGACTGGTGAATATTTTAAAGTGGAAAAAATGGGTCTTATTTATCCCAGTGCAACTGCACAGCAGCAATGTGAAAACCAGTAACAGCCAAATGCTAAGTCCTGGGGGACAGCCGCTTTCTGAAGTGAAACACTGTCACCTCCAGAATGGTTTTGAGTGACTGCATGGCCCAGAAAGTCTCATGGACAAGGGCTTGATTCCTGCGGGGTGAGCACCTGGACTGGTGTGAAAGAGGTGCTCCAGGCAGGTCCTGTGCGTGTCGCAGTGCCAGGACTGCTGGTGGAAACGGTTGATGGACCTGCCTCTGGGGCCTGGGGCCTGGGGCTGCTCAACTTTTATGAGAGATAGGCTGCTTGGTCAGCTCAGCCGCAGCCTGGACCAGCTGGAAATGGTTCGTGTGACAGAAACCCACTCCCAGGAAAGCTCCCATTGCTGGCACACCAGTGCCAGCACAAGAGCAGGGAGGAGGCATCCAATTGTGCCGCGGCAGAGCCCCCCAGTCTATCATCACCACAGAGACCCCCACAGCGTTTCTCTTCCCAGTGGGTCCCAGGGCACCGATCCCCGTTGAGACCAGGGTGCTCGGTCACAGCTTGGGCGCTGGGCTTGCAGCTTGTACTGCTTTCAGCTTGGCAGCAGCAGGCCTGGTTCTGGTGGCTGGAGCCGGTGTGCTGCCAGGCTGATGCTCTGGAGGAGGCGTGCGAGGGGCTGCTGCTGCACAAGCTGATGCTGGCAGGGGTACGGGCTGAAGCCGCTAGTGCGGGTGGGTGCTGAGATCCCGGTGGGTACCAGTGTGGCCACGGGGGATGCTGAGGCCCAGGAGTACCCCCGTGGCTCTATGGAGGTGGTTAGTCTCAAGCCCAGGTGCCTCAGTTGTCCAGAAAATGGATTTTCTAGGCATGGCTTAAAGCAATTGCACAAAGAGAGCAGCTTTCAGTGCGGGCACCGCCGCCATCCCCACCGAGCCCCTTGGCTTTGCTGCAGCTCTGCTCCCTTCACCCAGCGCTCCCCGGCTCAGCTCAGAGCCACGGCAGGAGCAGGGCAGGGGCTGGTGCACGCAGGCAGAGGCAGGGGCAGAGGCAGCGATGCCGCCGCGGGAGCTCCGCTCTGCACCGCCTCTACCAGCGCCGCCGGAATGAATGCAGGAGCGGCTTCGGCTCCGTGCTATTGAAAGCCCTGGAATTGCCCCCCGTTCAGCACCGCTTTTAGCCTTTTTCTTCACCAGTAAAATAAGAAACCTAAAGATGAGCGAAAGGCTTTGAAGGGGCTGCAGGGAGATCCGTGTTTACCTTCGCTCTCCCTTAAAACTGGCATAATTCTGACCTCTTTTTCAGCCCACCGGAAAATTGCAGCTTTTCCCCTCTGCTTTAATTTGTGCAAAGCTGCCCTGGCTTTCAAGTCATTCTTTTAACATTAGGTTATGCCAAGAAGTAGAGAACACTTGAGTAAGTGTTGGTTTAGGACTGAAAATCAAACCAGAGAGAAAACAGGTGGACTTAGCAAAGCTCTCTCGTTTTCCTGTGTTAAAATAAATACAGGGAGAAGTACCTGAGAAAGGGAAGGAAAAGCTCAAAGCACTCTTTCTCTCCCAGTAAAATATAAATAGTTAATCCACGCATCTAAACACAGTCTATACATATAAACCTACAAGGAAAATCTGTGCCTCATTGATGGATTTTTTAGGAAGCAGGAGTTTGTATCTGAAGCTTATTCTATGGCCAGTTCTTATGGAATCTCTTCAATAGCTGTACCAGAAAACACGGTTCTGATCTGCAGCACACCCCAATGCTCAGTTCAGCTCCGAGGTACCCTGGTAGGCACACAGACCGCTGGAGCAGTGTGAGTAGAGCTGCTCCATGCTTACACCGCTGTGAGGGAGGCAGGTTGTGAGCCTGCCAGCCCTCACTGCAGGGGAGATCAGTGACATTGTACCTGTTATTAAGTGCTGCACCGAGCAGCAATATCATACCCCTCATATAGTAAGAGCAGTGAGTGCAGGTGATCAAGCTACCAAGCCTATTCCTCTAACCTTGCTCTTAGGTTAAAAAGCAGTAGTAGCACCCCTTCAAAGTGACAGACGAGAGCTTGATGCCATTTTGTCAAGCCTGATGGCACCAGCCCTACCAAAGCATTGCTGGATGACTGGAACCAGTGGAGCCAGCAGGACCGGCATTCCAGGGCAGCCCAGTTCCAAGCACCGGGCTCTGCTGGAGCATCACCCAAGACTCCTCAGAGTGATTATTTTGATGGATGATGCGTTAGCCTGTGCAGCTCAGACTGATGCCAACACTTTGAGATTAATAAGTAATTGTAAAGCCCAGCCCAGCCCGTGGGAGCCGTCAATCCGACTGCAGCACTTGCATTTGGTGATTAGCGGTGGGTTTGTAGTGCTGCTCAGGAGGTGACACCAAAACCTCACAGCCCCACTGATGATGCTCCCCATGGCCACTCAGTGAGGGGAGCAGCAAGTGCCTGCCATTGCCTCTGCCACCCCTCTGCTGACAGGCAGGGTCCCCAGCACTTGGGTCACCCCCAAACCCTGTCCTTCCCCTGCAGGAGGAGCGTGCTGAGCACGGGAGGGGTTGCATTCTGCTGTCTGCATTTTCAAAGGACTCACCTCCACCTCTGGGTCCTTTGCTTTTGTTCTGCCTTCTTTCAACTAGGGTTACATTCCCACTGAGGTTTGTGGCAATAATTACACCTCGAGCACGTTGAAGGTCCCATTCTCCCGTCACTGAAGTCACTGGAAGCAGGATGAGGCTCCAGTTAAGCTTTTAAACAAACAGTCCTCCGTGGAGGAATTTATGGGGTTTTATTGCTTGTAGTCTCTTTCTAAGCTGTGTTTGTGTAGAGGAGGGGTTAGGGCATCGATTGTGTGATTTGCAAGTAACACAGAACAGACAAACTGGAGCCTGTGTAGGGGAAAATGGCATTGATTATTGTATATAAATATATAGAAAACAAATTCTAATAATTCTCTTCCTCTGTGATTGGCTTTTCTGGCTCTTGCTGTGTCTGTTTGGACCTGGAGTTTGAAACCACCTTCCCCCACTTTGCAAATGAAGTTTTCTTTGTAACAATACAAAGGGAAAAGCAGGTTTGCCGAGGCTGAACAAGGCAGCAGTGCCCACAGGGCTGGGAGCTGCAGGGCTCCGGGTGCATGGCTGCAGGAAACAGAGCCTCCGGGAGGCAGCTCCAGTGGCTGATGCTCAATGCTCCGTTTGGCCGGTGTTCGTTGGGAAGGGGTGGCCGGATGGCCAGGCCTGGCTCTGCAGCCAGGGTCCATCGTTGGATGGAGTCTGAGGGGGACAGAGCTGCTTTTCTCACCCAGAAAACTGGCCAAGATTCACCTTTTTACCCTGTTTCCTCATGGTAATGTGCTGGACCACAAGGGCATTGATAGGTGTGTGGGTGCAGTGGCAGAGCCCAAGGCCTGGCTGTCACCCAGGGCAAAGCACTGAGGAATTCTTCCTTGTGGCCGACAGGCAATGGAACCTAAAGGGGTAGGAGCAGGCAGAAACTGAAGTGAGATTGAGACATTTCCCATCCCAGAAGCAAACCACTGCAGAGGAGCAGCCTGACGGCCCCTGAGAAGAGCCCGCAGGCTCCAGGAATATTCCCTGAGGGAATCCCAACTGCTGGCTGTGTGCTCCCGGTTTGGGTGTAAGCACACAGAAAGCAGAACTGGGTTTCCTTGGGCACCCTGCTGAGCATCAGGAGCAGGCTCAGATGGAGCCTGTGTGCTGAGGGTGTGAACCCACCAGCATCTCCCATGGGTGTCTGAATATGGATCCAGTCCCCAGATCTCCTGGGGTCAAGTCCACTGATGGGTAGCTTCAGGATTCTGGTTTCTGCACATTCACTGCTACAAGCAAAACCCTGTTTTTTCATTTGGTTTGGTTTCTCCTGCTTTTAAATCACTCTATTGCCTTTGTGGCTTCTCCTGCATTTCTGTGTGCATTCCATGCACCCGTTGCTCCAGCATTTAATGGCTGATAAAG